GGAAAATAAAAGGGAAAATAAAAGGGAAAAAAAGGGGAAAAAGGGAAAATAAAAGGGAAAAAAAGGGAAAATAAAAGGGAAAATAAAAGGGAAAAAAAGGGGAAAAAGGGAAAATAAAAGGGAAAAAAGGAGGGAAAAAAGGGAAAATGAAAGGGAAAAAAAGGAAAATAAAAGGGAAAAAAGGAGGGAAAAAAGGGAAAATAAAAGGGAAAAAAAAGGGAAAAAAGGGAAAATGAAAGGGGAAAAAAAGGAAAATAAAAGGGAAAAAAAAAAGGGGAAAAAAGGAAAATAAAAAGGGAAAAAAAGGGGAAAAAAAGGGAAAAAAATAGGGGAAAAAAGGGGAAAAAAAAAAGAAAAAAGGAGGGAAAATGACCCAAAAAAAGGGGGAAAAGCCCCAAAGCCGAGGGGGTGAGGATGAGGATGAGGAGGAAGAGCAGGATCAGGAGCTGTTCTGGTTCTGGTAAATCGACGCCTTCTCCTTGAGCAGGTCCAGGCAGAGGTGGCAGCTCCAGCTCCCTGCGGAAAAAACGGGATCAGCCTTCGGCCTCAGCTCCTCATCCTCACCCGGGAGCGCCAACAGCCCCAGGGGAGGAGGAGGAGGAGGAGGAGGAAGAAGAAAGGAGGGAGGGAGGAGGAAAAGGAGAATAAAGGGAGAGGAGGAGGAGGAGGAAGGAAATGAATGAAGGAGGAAGTGGAGGGAGGAAGAGGAGGGAGAGGAGGGAGGGGAAGAAGAGGAGGGAGGAAGAGGAGGAGGAAGAAGGGGAAGAGGAAAAGGAGGAGGAGGAGGGAGAGGGAGAGGAGGGAAAGAAGGAAGAGGAGGAAGAGGAGGAGGAAGAGGAGGGAGAGAAGGAAAAGAAGAAGGAAGAGGAGGAAGAGGAAGGAGAGGAGGAGGAAGAAGAGGGAGAGGAGGAGGAAGAGAAGAAGAAAGTGGAGGAAGGAAGAGGAGGAGGAAGAGGAGAAAAGGAAGGGAGGGAGAGGATGGAGAGGAGGAGGAGGAGGAGGAAGAAAGGAGGGAGGGAGGAGGAAAAGGAGAATAAAGGAAGAGGAGGAAGAGGAGGAAGAGGAGGAAGAGGAGGAAGATTTGGGACAATAAAACCCCTCTCCATATCCCGGAAGGAAAGGCAGGAGGAATCCCGAGGTTTCCCAGCCCAGGGCGGGGTTGGGGACGGAATCCCGAGGGGTTGGGAATTCCAGAGGGGGTTTTGGGACGGAATCCCGAGGGATTGGGAATTCCAGAAGAGGTTTTGGGATGGAATCCCGAGGGATTGGGAGG